CCCACTCCCTTAGTGTTCTGCTTGTCTAATTGAGTGATGACTGATAAATTTACCTTGATACATAATTCATGGGAGGTCCTATGCAGCTTCACATTTGAAATTCTAGTAATGCAAATTAACATTTAAGAAATTAAACATTTCCCCTTCAAAATAGTTGCGGTATCTTTTTGAAATACTTAGGTACTCTTTATTGTATTGTAAGTAATTTTAAGTATTCTTATGAAGAATTAACCCAATAAAATGCAGATGTAGGTTTCTATTATCATTTTCCTTCTACCTGAAAGAACTTCCTTTTAACATTTTTGTAGCTCAGGTCTTCTGGTGATAAATTCTTTCAGCTTTTGTATGTCGGGAAAATTCTTTTGGTTTTAGAAGATATTTTTGTTGGGTATATAATTCTAGATTGACAGTTTATTGTCTGAGTATTTTAAAGATGGTGGCTGTTCTCACATTTGTTTTTGATGAGAAGTTCAATGTCATTGGTATTTTTCTTCCTCTGTATTTAGTGTGTGGTTTTGTCCCTTCTTATCACTGTTAAAATTTTATCATTGAATTTAAGCACTTGGATTATGTTGTACCCTCCTATTATTTTCTTTGTTTTTTTTTTTTTTTCTTATGCTTGGGGTTCATTGACCTTTTTATATCTGGGCTTTTGTTTTTCATCAAATTTTGAAAAATTTTGGCCATTATTTCTTCAGCTGTGTTTTCTGTCTTCACTAACTCCAAGTACACATATGTTTTGTTGCTTGAAGTTGTCCCAGAGCTTACTGATGCTCTTCATTTTTTTATTCAGTCCCTTTTTTTTCTCTGTTGCATTTTGGATAGTTAATTTTCATGCCTCAAGTTCACTCATCTTTTCTTCTGCAATATTTAGTTTCATCCATTATATATTTTAACTGAGATGTTTTTCATTCATAGAAGTTCAGTTTGAGTCTTTTTCATATCTTCCATGTCTCTGTGTATACTATATTCAGTTTTTCCTCTAGTTTCTTGAACATATGGAATACACATGTTTAAATGTCTTTTGTCCACTAACTTGATCATCTGGGCCATTTCTGGTTCAGTTTCACATGATTGACTTTTCTCCTCATTATGGGTTGCATTTTTCTGCCTCTATGCATGCCTGGTACTTTTTGATTAGATGCCAAATACTGTGAATTTTACCTTGTTGAGTGTTGGATATTTTTTGTATTCCTAAAAATATTCTTGAGCTTTGTTCTGGGATGCAGTTTGTTTACTTGGAAACTCTTTGATCTTTGTTTGGCAGTACCAGACCAGCATTCAGTCTAGGGTTAATCTCTCCCCACTACTGAGGAAAGACCCTTCTTTCAATTAGAGAATACTCAGAATTGTTCTCCCATGAATTATGAGGCTTTCCACTCTGGCTGGTGGGAACAGCCACTATTCCTGGCCCTTTTTGAGTTCCAGGCATTATTCCCTGAAATCCTTTTTGGGTGATTGTTTCTCCAGCCTGGATTAATTTCGTTGCATGCATATGCTGATCAGTAATCAACTAAAGACTTAAAAGGGACTCTGGCAGATCTCTGGAGTTCTTTTTTTTAACATAATCTCTTTTCTGTGGTACTCTGTCCTGCAAACTCTGTTCTCCTTGGCTTTTCTGGACTCTGTTTCTTCTCCATAACTAAAGGAAACCACTGGCTCTCCCTGACTTTGCCTTCCTGCACTGTGATCTTGAAAGTCTCTCCAGACAGTAAAAAGCTGGAGCAATTGTAGGGTTGGTTTCAGTTAATTCTCTTTCCTTCCGGGATCACTTACCTTTTTTCCTGATGTCTAATGAATTGAGAGCTGTTCCTTCATATATTTTGTGTAGTCTTTTTAGTTATTTCAGGTGATAGAGTTAATCTGGTCTTTGTTATTCCATCTTGATATTATTTAAATTTCATTTAATTATGTGTTTAGAGTCAGCATCAGGAAGATGTTTGTTTGTAGGAGGCAAGATATGAATTCTTTCCTCCTACAAATAAAGATTCTTACTCAGATGATTTGAATTATCTGGTATTCTAGGTACAAAAGTTTTACAAAGCCTGTATGGTTTTTCTGCCTGTATATGGCATTATATTTTTGTTAGTTATTTATTCCAGTGGCATTTGAAGTAGCTGGTTTACAAACTTTGTTACTGGTGTTGAAATGAGAAACATACGCCAGAATATACGTTAATGCGTAGCTTCTTCCATCATTGAGAAAGTACTGTTATGAAAAGCTGTTAGGTAGGTGAACTCAACAGTGTGCTTGGTGATGAGTTGATTTACATTTTGTTCAAGGTCCTTATCTTATATATTTTCTTTTCTTACAAACTGTTGGTGGCTTGGTACTGGTCCCCTGGTCATACTTTTGAGTAGTGTGCTTTTGCTTTATACTACTTTAAGTTAACAAACATGGACTTTATTTAAAATGCATTTTAATTGGGCTCAGGAATACAGTTTTTCCCCAAAAGATTATACTCAAGATCACTCAGTTGCAGGTATAAAAGAAAGCAAGCATCCAAAAGCCATAATCTATATTAACCTCAATTATCTTGTTTTTTTTTTTAAGTATACAGTTAGGTGGTTTTTAGTATTTTACAGAGTTGTGCCACCATCATTCTAATTTTAGGATATTTTCATCATTCCCAAAAGAAATCTTAAGCCTATCAACAAGTTTCTCCTTACACACCCCTAAGGCATCTAGCCTTAGGAAATCACTAATCTTTCTATCTCTGTAAAACTGCCTTTTATGGACATTTCATATAAATGAGATCATATAAAATGTCTTTTGTGTCTGACTTTTTTCACTTAGCATAATAATTTTGAGGTTTATGCATGTTTTAGCATGGATCAGTACTTTGTTTCTTTTTATTGCTTAATAGTATTCCCTATCTTGATTTTTGAGGCAAATCTTTTTCTGAAATTTTTTTTTTACTTGATCTACCGTTTTTATTTGTTGCCCTTCAAATTGGCTGTTTTCAGATTGTTTAATTCTAATGTCATAGCAGTGTTTGAATTAGCTTTATAATTTCCATATATTTTGGTTTTACTGTTAGTTGCTATATTTTCTGTTCATGAATCAGACATTTCAAGTAATTTAAAATAGCTGAATTTGAGTATGTTCAATAGTGCATATTTTATACATTATTACATAGCACATTTAATTTTTTTCTTAATGGCACTGTATGGAAATGAGTTAATTTAAATACTAGTCAGGAATTAACAGGTGAATTAGAGTGAAGACAAAGCATCTCAACAGTAGAGAACAAAGTTTTTTAAAAAAATGTAACAGTCTGTGTTGTGAGTCAGTCATTTAACTCTGGGGCAGATTTGCTTCACATGATTATTCAGGGGCCTAGTTAGCTTTCATATCATTCCATTGCCACCTGTGACTCCTGGAGAATTTACAACTTTGTGGTAGAAACTTGGTCACTATATCCTGGTTTCAGTTTGCTGAAAAGGTGAAAGCGATCTTAGACAAGACATGTTCAATAATTTTAGTTATAAATGTGGAGGTAATATGTATCACTTTATTTATATTCCATTGATGACTGACTACAAGAGAAGCTGGAAGTACAGTTTAGTTGGGCAACGTATGTATTACTATGGCTGATAGATTGCAATTTGGCCGACAACCAGCAGTCTCTGCCATACCACCAATGAAGTCATCTTTGAATTTAGCAGTTTGTGAACGAAATCTGGGAAATATCTTTGATAGTATAACAGTCTATTTATTAATACTAGTATTAAGAAAGGTCATATCAAGTTTAGATAAAAGCAAAATTACCAAAATTTCAGTACTTTATTAAAACTAAATGTTCCATTATTTTAGAAAATTTTTTGTTTGAGAATGTTAGTAAGTTTAAATCATTCTTACCTCTACCATTGAGTACAATATTTGGCCTGGTTACTTTATGTGAATTAAGGAGACATATAAATAGTGCATGATGTTTGTTACTTTTAACTTGGCAGAATGGTAATTTTTTCTGTTTTTGTTGTTGGGTGGGTATTTGGGGGAAATTTTAAAATTATTTTTTAATAAAAATAATTTTTCCAATTTGCCAAATCCTTTGTTGTATAGGTTTTCCATGACAAAGCACCTTTATATATGCATTATTACATTTGAGTCTCATAATTTTATGAACTAGGTGGAAAGGCCTTTTTTTGGAGCCAGGGTCTTATTTTGGGCACGAGGGCAGTGGCATGATCATAGCTCACTGCAACCTCAAATTCCTTGGCTCAAGTGATCTTCTTGCCTCCGTCTCCCGACTAGCTGGAACTACAGGGATACACCACCATGCCCAGCTAATTTTTCTGTTTTTCGTAGAGATGGGGTTTCACTATTTTTGCTCATGCTGATCTCTAATTTTTAAACATTTAAATTATCTGCTTAGAGTAGAATACTTTATTTTAAATAGAAATATGTTTAGTCTGTTGCATTTACTACCTCTTATATTTGTTTTAGTGTCTTTGAATATTTGTTTAGGCCTGAGTCACACTGGCAAGAACATTTATTTTAGTGCTCTAATGGCACCTAGTGATCCATGCTAGAAGAAATGGGTGTTAACCTTGATAGTGTCATGAGACCTGATTTGTCATTGGCGTAACATTGAAAAGTGAGATGTGAAAAAGAAAAAGAAAAAATTTTAAATTTTATTCTTATTTTCGTTGCCTGCCCTCTGGTGGAGAAGTTAGTAACATCAATCAGGGTACATGAAAAGTCTGAAGGGGGCAGGAAACACATATAAATTAATAATTGATTAATTTAGCATGTGAAAATTCATTTTGAATTAAGCTTTCATTTTTAGTAAGTATGGATATAGTTGTAAATATTTATGAGGGTACATGTTGAAAATTTAAATGTATGTTAGAATTTCAGGTTTATTTGGTAGTCACAGCTTATAAATTTTGGAGGGGACAAATATGGGAATAAAACTTTAAGAATGCATAGTGTTAAAAAGGTACACATATTTACTGATTATGTTTCTGTGTTTCTCAAAATACCTTGTTTCTCAGGCTCTTACTGAAGTATCACAGACCTTAAAAATGGAAAATGAAGAGGTTAAGAAGAGATACAGTGATGCTACATCCAAAGCTCTCCAGCTTGAGGCAGATATTGTATCAGTGACACATAAAGCAATTGAAAAAGAAACTGAGTTAGACAGGTATTTCTGATGCTTTTTAAAAATAACTTCAGTGTTTTAACAGGTTTGTGGGTTTTTTTTCCCCTGTATTAATGTTACTTTATCTTAACTCAGTTTAAAAGACAAACTCAGGAAGGCACAACATGAAAGAGAACAACTTGAATGTCAGTTGAAGACAGAGAAGGATGAGAAGGAACTTTATAAGGTAATTTATTCTTTATATTTTTATTACCTATTGCTTAGTAACAAATTACCTCAAAACTTAAGAGTTATAGGTCAGGGATCTGGGAGCAGGTTAACTGAGTGGCTCTGGCTCCTGATGGCTAATGTAATTGCAGTGAGGATGTCAGCAAAGGCTGCAGTCACCTAAAGCTGCGGTCCCCAACCCCTGGGCCATGGACTGGTACTGGCCTGGTCTATGGCAGGTTAGGAACCAGGCCACACAGCAGGAGGTGGCAGGCTAGTGATAGAAGCTTCATCTGTGTTTACAGCTGCTCCCCATCACTCACATCACTGCCTGAGTTCCGCGTCCTGTCAGATCAGTGCATTAGTTTCTCAAAGGAGTTGGAGAATCTAATGCCTGATGATCTGAGGTGGTGATGCTAGCACTGGGGAGTGGCTGCAAATACAGATTATCATTAGCAGAGAGGTTTGACTGTACGGTGATCATAATAAATCAATTTCTTGCAGACTCAAATCAATTTCTTGCAGACTCATATCAAAACCCTATCAGCGAGTGGCAAGTGACAATGTAATAATAATAAAGTGCCCAGTAAATGTAATGTACTTGAATCATCCTGAATCTACCTACTCTCCCTCCATTCCCCCCCGCCCCCCTTATCCATGGAAAAATTGTCTTCCATGAAACTGGTGCCAGAAAGGTTGGGGACTGCTGACCTAAAGGCTTGATTGGAACTAGAGGATCTGCTTTCATGATGGCTAACTTACATGGCTATTGGCAGGAGATCTTCCATCTCTTCTCTCATAGTCTCTCCTATAGGCTGCTTGAACACCCTCACAGCATGGCAGCCAACTTCTCTGAGAGTAAGTGATCCCAGAGAGAGCAAGGAGAAAGTCATCACATCTTGTATTACCCCTAAAAGTTAGTTTTTAGGAAATTAATTTGCTGCTATTTTAGATACTTAGCAGGTACTGTATAATAAGTCAGAGAGTTTTATTGGTAACAAGATACTTGTTTATCAGAATTTACATAACCAGGTATTTTGTCCTTTTAAAAACATACATATATGCCTTGGGGAGAGCATTAATTTATTTCAGTGATGATTATGTTTACAGTTTGACTTTTGGAATGATCTTCAGGTACTGTCATTTTGCAAAAATATCCTCACTGCTTATAAGTCTTCACCTTTTGAAATTTTTCTTTTTCACCAATTCTGAAATATCGGGTGCTTAACTTAGTTGTCAATAATGTAGGTTCAAATAGAGACTTATTTTCTTAAGGCTCATAAGTATTTCCTGAAAGCATTTCCAGGTGAGGAGTTTCCAGAATACTCTGAGTTAAGTCACCTTCATGTAAAGTCACTTTCATGAGCTGATGATTATGAAAATTAGATAGTGTTTTAAAAGTGATGCTGCAGAGGTGTTGGCTGTTGACACCTTCAGAGAATCAGGAGTTGTATTCCATCCTTGTGAACAGGAATTAGTTCTTTAGAATTCCATATGTTTAAAGAGTAAAGTGCAAGAATGGTATCAATTCATTTCTCTCTAATACTCTTAACCAAAGCAAAATAATGCTTGATAGTGGACACTAGTCTGTCCTCTTTATAATTCCAGTTAATAGAATTTGATTTGTATGTCTATTAGGAGCAAATCAGGAGCTGCCAGAGTTCATGAGATAATCAATATAGTTTGATTAGTCAACATATGTATTTATAGGCACATGGGAAGTAAATGACATAGTATTAATACTTTTCACATGCAGAAAAATTGAATTGTGTGATGTTTTTGAATGTACCCCGTCTGGTTTTCCAGAATGTAGTCATGCCTTCATGTTTAAATATGCCTGTAACATAATTTGTTTCCCCAAAAGAGCAACCAAATCCATTTGTATTGTTAAAGAGAATCTGAAATCATTATATCACAGGAAAAGACTGTAGAGACCAGGTATTACAGTTAGAACTTAGATATCTTTATGGAAAATAAAAAAACTTAGGAAAGCCGTGTTTGCTCTTAACATGCTTTAGCTAATCGTTTGGCAGAACCTGGGTCTCCTGACAGTGTGTCTTTTCTGTCCTTTGATTATTTTGGGGTTATAGATAATGGTATTTTGAATTTTGACTAACTTAGATTATCAAATTAGAAAGTATATTCTTGACATTTTCAAACACTTTATAGGTACATTTGAAGAATACAGAAATAGAAAACACCAAGCTTATGTCAGAAGTCCAGACTTTAAAGAATTTAGATGGGAACAAAGAAAGCATGATTACTCACTTCAAAGAAGAGATTGGCAGACTGCAGTTTTGTTTGGCTGAAAAGGAAAATCTGCAAAGGACTTTTATGCATACAAACTCAAGTAAAGTAAGTACTTTTACAATATGTATTTGAAGATTGCAAAACACATCTCTATTAAATGTGTGCAATATGATTATTTTTATTTTTAATCCCCTCCAATCTTTTTTTTGAAAAAGTTCAAACCTACAAAAAATGTGAAAAAACAGAACAATGAATACCTATGTACCCTAAAATATTTTATCATTCTTTGTTTTATCTCCCCCATTTATATGCCTTTTTTCCTGAGCCATTTGCAAGTCATTTGCAGGCATCATAATTCCCTCTGAATACTTAGCATTTCTCTCTCATGAACTAGTATATTCTTCCGTATAACACTAATATCATTATCACACCTAAGAATGTGACACTGATAGAATAATATTCATTCTCATATATGGTTAGTCCACATTCAAATTATCCCAAATTAATTTTTATGTTACCTCTAAAATTTTTTGATCCAGGGGTAGTAAAAGATCACAAGTTCATTTTTTTATTTAAAATTTTTTTATATTTAATTATGGGTACACAATGTTATAGTTATGTGTATGTATATTTGTTTTGTTTTTTGAGACAGAGTCTAACTCTGTTGCCTGGGCTAGAGTGCCGTGGCGTCAGCCTAGCTCATAGCAACCTCACACTCCTAGGCTCAAGCGATCCTTCTGTCTCAGCCTCCTGAGTAGCTGGGACTACAAGCATGTGCCACCATGCCTGGATAATTTTTTCTCTATACATTTTTAGTTGGCCAATTAATTTCTTTCTATTTTTAGTAGAGATGGGGTCTCACTCTTGCTCAGGCTGGTTTCGAACTCCTGACCTTGGGCAATCCACCTGCCTCGGCCTCCCAGAGTGCTAGGATTACAGGGCGTGAGCCACCGCACCGGGCCTGGGGCTAACAATTTAAAAACCAAAATTGGGTTGCAATTTTTCTGATTTTGCATTATTTTTAGTACTGAAATTAGAAACAGGAAAGTTGAAAAAACTGTATTTACTGTGTTCATAATGTCTTGTTAATATTAAAGGAAATAATTTCATCATGGCAATTTTAACTTTTTAAAGATACTTTTAGATTTATTAAGAGGTGCTGATTATTTTTCATCTTCCCAGTACCTAATCTTTACTATTGGTATATCACTATTTTGTTATTAGAACTAATGCCTAAATTGTTTCTGTGTTTTCATAATGATCTGAAATGGTAGATTAATATTGTATTGGATGTCTTTTAGGTTAGAAAGTAAGAAACCTCTTTGAACCGACATTTGCAGTGTTATAGAGAAGTTTTTGAAATTATTTTTACTGGTGATTATAAAAAATGAGGGTCAGTAGTTTCAGCTGGAGAGATTCCAGGGGACAGGATCTTTCATTTGAGCCTCAGGTTAGCCAGATCTTTAAGTACTGTGTGTTGCCTGACATCCTGTACTTTTATTTCCTCATGTATAAAGTAATAGCAATGATACCGAGTACTTAGAGTGGTTATATGGGGAATCTAAAACAAAGTCACCTCTTAAATTTTTTATAGACATGTACTCCAAGTTTTTAATAGAAAAGCAATATTTAAACGTTTGGATCTGTTGAAATATATGTAAAAATTGTTTTCTGCTTCTGTTTTTTATTTGAATAGTTTAATTACAAATACATTTATCTGCTTTCTTCAGGAAGATACATTTTTTTTAAAGGAGCAACTTCGTAAAGCAGAGGAACAGGTTCAGGCAACTCGGCAAAAAGTTGTCTTTTTGACTAAAGAACTAAGTGATGCTGTAAATGTGCGAGACAGAACAATGGCAGATCTACATACTGCACGCTTGGAAAATGAGAAAGTGAAAAAGCAGTTAGCCGATGCAGTGGCAGAACTTAAACTAAATGCTATGAAAAAAGATCAGGTAAAGCAAGTTAATTTTGAAATTTCATTTTGATGGAAAAAACCACTAAAAGCTCACAAAAGAGTAAATTGTGTTAAAATAAGGCCAGATTCCTTATCAGAGGATTTTAAATTGCTATTCATTTTGTTTAGTCATTATAATTTCTTGGGTTGAAATTAATGTGTGCTTTAAGAAAAACTTCTATAAACAAAATTCCTAATGGTTAGTAAAAGTTGCTCTATTAATTAAATGTATTGATGTCAGGTATTAATATATATTGCTTTGTTTGGAATTTCTTATTTACTAGCTGTATAAAATGGTATTATGGTTATTTAAGAGAAGAATAATTGCTCCTCAGGAGGTGGCTTATTTTTCTCTAGTTTTTTAACGAACCTTAGTCCTAAGAATATAAAGCTAGATTTATTAGGAGAACTAATATTGCTCTGTGTTTATAATCCTGAAACAAATAAAAATTAAACGCCATAGAAAAGTGAAAATAAAGTTGGGATTTACTGTGACATTATGAGGTATCAGCTTTTCATTTTTCTCTTAGAGTGTTTGTTTCTTTCTTAGGAAAAGACTGATACTCTGGAACACGAACTGAGAAGAGAAGTTGAAGATCTGAAACTTCGTCTTCAGATGGCTGCGGATCATTACAAAGAAAAATTTAAGGAATGCCAGAGGCTTCAAAAACAAATAAATAAACTTTCAGACCAATCAGTAAGTATCATTGAATTCATACAAAGTAACATATTTTCTGTATCAATATTTTTGTTTGCAAGTCAAATTATATTTCAAATATCAACCTTTTAAATATAATTTATCTCTGCTTGATTTCAAGCCTTTGGCCTAATATTATAATCGCAACTCTTTTTTTAAAAAAAAATCTAGAATTCTTACTTACTGGACAACCAACAAAGGAAGCAAGGGTATAAGCAGCAAGGAAAAACACAGGAGAGAGAGAGAGCCCTATTTCCTAGACCATTTTCTTTTAAATTCTTGATAAATGTCTTTGTCACTTAAATCTCAGTACATATTATTGAATCTCTCTTGTGACAATGACACTTGACTTCTCTGGGGTAGTTCACCATTGATTATCCTGTGGTATTAGGTGTTTTTTTCAGTTGTTGTTGGTGAATTCTTGGATCCTACTCATGTCCACTAGATTAGGAAGAGTTAGAGTGTTAGATAATTATTTTGTATTCCATTTGAGATTAAGTAGGCAGATTTGTAATAAAGCAGAGAAAATAGTTTTGTTTTGAGATATGTGCATTTTAATATGGGTCCTTAAATACAAGGCTTACTATATGAAGAACTCCTGGAAATGTATTATAGAAGAAACATATTTAAAATTTGGACTTGCAACTGTTACCGCAGTTTTCTTATATGATACAGATTATATTTTCCTGGTCATTTTGAAATCTGAAAGGAGGTAAAGAAGCAAGGAATGCATGTGGTAAAGTAGGAAGGCTTTTGTGGCAAAAAAAAATTATACTTTTTAAATATGACCCACATGTATAGATTTTGGTTTGGGGCCTTTTGAACCCATTATGACTTTGTAATATGAGATTTTGAGATTTCTATGAATGACCAATTTTGGTGGTATTTTGATGATTTCACAAGAACAAGCAAAATAAAGTATTTCTCTTCTGCAACATTTAGGTCAGTTAGGAAGTTGATGTGTATAACTTTAGTCTTTGTTGGCTTTTAAGACAAAAGCAGCTTTGTGGACTTTTTAGGACTTCCTTTTATGATTATTATTACGTAGTTATTGCAAGAAGGAAATATGACTCATTCAGTGACTTCATTGAACAATTTATTATTAACATTTTGAATAGGCCAATAATAGTAGTATCTTCACAAAGAAAATTGTGCATCAGCAGAAAGTGAATGATGCTTCAATAAACACAGACCCAGCCACTTCTGCCTCTGCTATGGATGTAAAGCTGTCACCTTCTTCTACAGGTAAAAATCTTTCAGACTTTTTGTGTAGGGTGTCCTTCCTTAAAGATACTTATTTACACGCCGCCTTCCATGTGTAAGAATTTCAGGGCGCTTATTAAATATCCTCATGAGTGAGGGAATCAAGGCAAAGGGAAAATAAGGGTATAAATATAAAATAAAGTCATGCATGTGGTGATATACAAAATGAGTGCAAATATTTATCTTCATGAAAATATTCAAAGTGTTAGAAATGAGCTAGTGCTTGTAAGTACTCATTCGGGTTATATAGGACAAAAGCCAAGAATTCAAGTTTTACTTTTTATTCCATTAAATCTATGGAATTTTGAAGCATATTATCTGTGGCATTTTAATTTTATAATTTGATGGGGGCAGGGAATCCCCTATTCTTCTCATGTTTCTCTGGTGTTTTTGTACTTCTTCCTTCATTATTTTACCTGTTAGCTGATGAGTTAAATTTTTATTAGTTTTTTAATTAACTTATAGAACAGATTAGGGAGCCATAGTTGAATTGTATGAATAACATGAAAGTTTGAATTAACTCTAGGTTTTCACCTGTCCTAATTTTTTTTTCACTTTTATATAAATTTGACAGTAATGAAAGTAAGTACCAGAGAAAGAGTATTTCCTTGTTTAGTGTGTGGGGTAATTGATATTTAAATCTTTTAAAATGTAAATATCCTATTAAATATTTAAGTAGGTTCAGCCTCTATGAGTCAGAATCCAGCTTTCCATTTCTGTGTATCTTCCATAGTACGTAATATGATAGAGTATTTACTTAATAAAAGACTTAGTGGATGGTTATGAAGGACTAGAAGAATGATTTAAAATGTATTCTTAGCCACGCACATTGACTCATGCCTGTAATCTCAGCTCTTTGGCAGCTGAGGCTGCAGGATCTCTTGAGCCCAAGAATTGGAGGCCTGCCTGGGTAACATAGTGAAACTCTGGCTCTTAAAAAAAAATGTATTCTCAAAGAGTATGGCTTTACTACTACTCCTTATTCAGTTATATAAAAACAATTTTTCTGCCATTTTGGAACTATTTTGAGCCAATTAAAAAAATTAAAGACCCTTTCATTATTGAATGTGAACTTGAATCTGGTTAAAACTGACATTTAAAAACTCTTCACCTAGAGTTTATGTATCCTTTTTTGTTTATTTAAGATATGAATAGATGTTTCTGTCCTTCATTCCATTTATTATATTTCACAATATACTGACCTTTAAATTATCCTTAACAGGAGGATATAATATAAGTGGCAAAATACTTTTTAACAATCTTACTTTCTGCCTCATTATAGCAGAGACACAGTTTGATGTGATAACAAAGGGGCACGTCTGTGAAATGACCAAAGAAATTGCTGACAAAACAGAAAAGTATAATAAATGTAAACAACTTTTGCAGGTAAGTTAGCTCCCTTGTAAGTGAATGATAGATTTATCAAATGTAAATGCATTAACTTGTCTTTCTTGTTCTGTGTGATTGGTATCCTGGGGTTTCTTTTCCATTTGCATGTAGTGTTAGTTTTGCTTTTGTGTTTGGGATGATGATGGGGGTGTTTTATGTACCTGTTCATACAGGCTGTTGTGTGTAAAATCATGATCCTGAAGTCATTTTCTGTTTACCCAATAAAATGTTCTTGTTTGGCTAATGGGCAGGTAATTAATTGAGGTTGGAAATTATTGTGTCTTTTTATTACCAAAATTCATGGGAAATATTTGAACTTCATAAAAGAGAAGTGTTCTTTTTATTTTATTTTTTATTTTGATTGATTTATTGATTGAGGCAGGGTCTCACTCTGTTGCCTGGGCTAGAGTGTGGTGCATCATACCTCACTGCAACCTCAAACTCCTAAGCTCAAGTAGTTCCCCTGCCTCAGCTTCCCCAGTAGCTGAGACTACAGACAAATGCCACCAAGCCCAGCTAATTTTTTCTATTTTTAGTAGAGACAGAGTCTTGCTCTTGCTCAGGCTGGTCTCCAGCTCCTGGCTTCAAGCAATCCTCCCTCCTAGGCCTCTCAAAGTGCTAGGATTATGGGTGTGAGCCACTGTGTTTTTTATTTTTTTAAGAGACAGGGTCTTGCTTTGTTGCCCAAGCTGGAGTGCGGTGGTGCAACCATAGCTCACTGCAAGCTTCAACTCGTGGGCTCAAGTGATCCTCCCATTTCAACCTCCCAAATAGCTGTGACTACAGGTGTGCTCCACCATACCCAGCTAATTTTTTTTTGTAGAGAGGGAGTCTTGATATGTTGCCCAGGCTAGTCTTATACTCCTGGCTTCAAGTGATCCTCCCCCCTAGGCATCTGAAAGTGCTAGTAGTACAGGTGTGAGAGCCCCACCTTCTTTTTAAATTTACTGTAATAATAGTAAATAATTTTACATCTGAAAGTGACCAGATTTGCACAGTGGAAAAAGGGAATGTTAACCAAATGAGTTGTCCCTTATGGTGTTATTTATTTTGTTTATTTTAAACAGAATCATTCAAACTTCAGTTTTGCAACCTTCATGGTAGCATTCACTCCTAGAATATTTAAGGACAAGGCAAAATGTTTCTCCTTTATATCTGATTTGGAGTATAGAGGAAACAATGTTTTGTGTTTGTGATTTTTGTTTAATTAAATGGTTTGGGGTGTTATGTGTATTTGGGGGTGGGTGGGTAGGGAAGGGTGTGTTTTAGAGCATTGGAATAAAGTTCACACATTAGCTCAGTGTTACCATAGTAATTAATTGAAAATATGTTGCTTGTAAATAATAAAATCTTTTAAACTTTTAAAGTGAGCTTTTTTTTTTTTGCTTGAGAGAATCCTTCTGTAGAAGAATTGATTAGAACAGTTTTACCCTTGAGTTCAGTGTATTAATAGTTGCTTATTAAGGATGAAATAATTCTGGATGAATATTTGTAAAAATTTTTATTATATAGAAATGTTACTGAAAAGAAGATAGAATAATGTCCCTTTAAGCAAAATCCTTCCTAAAGGTGCATTTTTAAAACAACTGTATTGAAATACAATTGAAATCTATAGAACTGCACATAATTTGAAGGGTGCAATTTGATCAGTTTTTTTTTTTTCACTCATGTAAGTATGCTGATATGATCAGTTTTGATGTACACAGAAACTATCGTTGCCATGTCAAGATAACATATTCATCACCTCCCAGTACTTTTTTGTACTTATTTGCAACACATCTCTATCCCCATCTCTAGGAAGCCATTGTCCTATTTTCTGCTACTATTAATTAGCCTACCTTTAGTACAATTTTATAAAATGAAGTTATACAGTATGTACCTCCCCCCCTGCCCTGTTTGAGCACAGTTATTTTTGAGATTTATCCATATTGTTGCTTATATTGTTCATTCCTTTTCATTGTTCATTCCTGAGGTTATAACCCATTATATGGTTATATCATTTGTTTATCAAGTTATCAGTTGATGGGCATTTGAAGTTGTTTTGGCTGTTACAAATAAAGCTGCTAAGAACATTTGTATCCAAGTCTTTTTATGGACATATGGGCTTTGTTTCTCTTGGGTGAATAGGAATGAAATGCCTGGGTGGTATGGTAGGTGAATGTGTAACTGCTTTGAACTGCTATTGAACTGCTTTGCAAGGTGGTTGTACTATTTTACATAGCCAGTCTAGTGTGTGTGTATAGTGATATCTCATCGTGGTTTTAATTTGCATTTCCATGATGACATGATGTTTAATATCTTTCCTTTCGTGCTTATTGGCCATTTGTCTATCTTCTTTTTGTGTGTGGTCAAATCTTTTGCCATTTAAAAAATTGAGTTCATCTTGAGTTGTAAATGTTTTTATTCTGGTTACAAGTCTTTTGCCTGATACATGTGTGGTGAATATTTTTTCCCAGTTTGTGGCTTGCCTTTTCATTTACTTAATGATGTTTTTAGGAAAGCAAAATTTTAATTTTGATAAAGTAATATTTATCAGTTTTTTTAATGTTTTGTGTTTTTGTGTTCTAAGAAACATTTGCCTAATCAAAGGTGATAAAGATATTCTCCTATGATGTCTTCTAGAAGTTTTGTAGTCAGGTTTTACATTTAGGTCTGTGAACCATTTTGAGTTAATTTTTGTGTGTGGTGTGAAGTATGGAATGTATGGAACTGATATTCAGTTAATTTAGTATTGTTTACTAAAAAGTCTTTTTTTCTCCTCCATTTATAAAGCAATTTCTAAACTTTCCCAAATGAAATTGGCTCATTTACTTTTTTTGTCATGATTTGTAACTCCTTCTTTATGATGATCTGGGTTATAGAGAAGAGCAATGTATAAGAAGTCAACCCAGAAATTATCTGGGTCAGGAAATCCCAGAGTTTCATTTATCAATGCCTGGAAATAACAGCATTAATTATAAATATATGATGTTTATTTCCTCCCTTTGCAAAAGTAATATATACTTATGAAGTGTAATGGTGTTACAGAAATAAAAGAAATGGTAAAAAGTACCTCCATGATCTTGATCTCCAGAGATAAGAGCTGTTAATATTTTGGCTTATATTTTTCTACACAACACTGACATATCATATATAATTGTAGAAAACAACTTATAAACAAAAATGGGTTAATACCATATATTTTGTTTTTGCAACTTGCTGTTTTTAGTTAATGTATCTTGGCATTTTTTTCCTTATAAACTTGTACATCTATCTTATTTTTAAAAAATAGATGTATACTATTTTATTTTGTGAATATAAGATGATTTATCCTGTTTTCTATTAATAGGCATTTGATTATTTCAGTTTTTATACTATTGCAACAATGTTATAGTAAATACTCAGCACATAACTAAGTATGTTTGCTTTATATGGATTTAAAATCTTTTGGTAATTATGCTAATTTCATTTAGGATGAGAAAGCAAAATGCAATAAATATGCTGATGAACTTGCAAAAATGGAGCTGAAATGGAAAGAACAAGTGAAAATTGCTGAGGATGTAAAACTTGAACTAGCTGAAGTGGAGGACAGTTATAAAGTAAGTTTGGTACTCATTGTATGTCAACTTGAGGCATAGTAGCTGGTACTTTTGAAAATGTGTTATCTGTAATTTTTATTACTGTAATTTACACTTTTAGTATGGATAATTGACATAGTTTATAATTGAGATAATTGAGATATATTACATATTTTCTTAAACATGTAATATATATTTAGTTATGTGAATATAGTTCATTAACTATGCACTGAGAAAATTGATACCCATATACATTGCTGCTGTTGCTTTAATTTCGTGGATTAAGATAGCTATTATAATAAAATTGTCTTTTAGTTGTGTTTATTTTTAAAGGTGAAAACTTATTTCATTTTCCTCTTGTTCATGTGGAAATAAACATGAATGGGTTTATAAAATTATTTTAGGGCTTTGACCCATTTTTAGAGTATAATAACATATCATCAATAATTTTTAAAAGCTTTTGTTAGTTTTAAAATTTGTTACCCAAGTGTATTACTGTGATCCTAAATGAAATACTGCAAAGTAAGTGATATAATCTTAAGTAATGAAAATTATTTTTGCCAATATAACATAAGGTGACAAACCAAAATGATAAGTGTTATCTATAAGAAAGAGAAAAAATTAACAGGCTGTCTAGCTAATTAATAAGTAGAAATATACCTTCCTTCTAAGGAATAAAGTATAATTTGGTCTATTTTAAGATATTTATATATCAAAATAAAATTTACATTTTTTTTTGTGACGGAAGACCAGGAAGTTCTAAATGATTTAAGTTTGCTATATTATAACTAACTATATCTGTAATCTGAGTTTTAAATTAGAATTCCTTTAGGTTTCCTCTGTAGGGGCTGGAGAGGGTGGCACATGACAGGCTAAGGTAATTTTACTGGTAATTTTAAACCTTCATTTATTTTTAGAATGATGTTTTGAAACTTTTATTTGATCAGTGTATTATTTCTAGGATTCCTGTGGATATTTTCAACAACTCTCAACTTCCTTTATTAGTTATCAAGTGTGAGTCATAAAGTTAAATGAAAAAATTTTTTTGCTATTGACCAGAAAAATGATTTAGTAAATATTTATTGAAGGCTATTATACATAAAAAGCACTTGTGTTAGCTATTATATGGGTGATCATATAAGGCACAGTACTATATTTAAGGAGTTTATTATTAATGTAATCTAGTAAAGATTACAAGAAGTATTATGGTAGTATTCACAAGCTTTCATATTTACTACCTTAGGCAATCATATGTCAAACCATGGGAAGCTAAAGAGATAATATTTTTATTTCATTAATGGTAAAGTGAGCATTGAGGGTCAACAGTGTATTTAAGATTATGTAGCTGGTAAATGTGGTTGGCTTTTTATTTAGTGTCTCTTTGCATATTTTATACTGTTTTAACAGGACTAACAGTGACCAGATAAGGCAAAATGTGCTAAAGATTCACATGATTGATAAGTTTTAGTACCTTAGAGTTGTTCCCAATTGCATATTTAGGCAGAAGACATTATGGAGAAACTAGACTTTTGAAAGACCAGACTGGAGGGGAGAAGAAACAGAGCTAGGAAAAGAAAGTCGCAGCATTCTCAGAAGATGGAAATGCTTTAAGACAGGTTTGGAGGTCAAAAGTGGAAAGCGTAGTCTGGAAACTGTGATCAATCTTTTTTCTTTTTTTGAGACAGTCTTACTCCGTTGCCCAGGCTAGAGTGCTGTGGCATCAGCCTAGCTCATAGCAACCTCAAACTCCTGGTCTCCTCCTGCCTCACCCTCCTGAGTAGCTGGGACTACAGGCATGTGCCACCATGCCCGGCTACTTTTTCTCTCTATTTTTAGTTGTCTAGCTAATTTCTTTCTGTTTTTAGTAGAGACAGGGTCTCGCTCTTGCTCAGGCTGGTCTTGAACTCCTGAGCTCAAACAATCCACCCGCCTTGGCATCTCAGAATGCTAGGGTTACAGGCATGAGCCACCGTGCCCGGCCTGTGATCAATCTTGAGAAACAGGACTTTAATATCTGTGATTAGACTTGAATGATAGCTTGAAGCCAGATTTTGTAAGGCCTAAAATGGAATTTGGGTGCTAGGTGCTGTTAAGAATTTTCTAGGATAAAAAGGATCCAACTAGGGTGATTCTTTTGAAAATACTAGGTTATTGAGTATGAAATGTCCCATTTCCTTAAGTACTAAATTTGACAGTTGATATTTCTGACATCTCACCTTGACACTTCTTGTTTTATTTTTATTGTGAAGATACATCTTCATTTTTCAAACACACGTTTTGGCTTGTGATCATCTTTCAGATTTTTTTAGAACAATTTTTGTTAAACCATAGATAAGTAAAATATTCGTGTTATTTTTGAATGTGAGTTCCATCCTGGAACCAGTGCTGCATAGATAGCTTGAAATGTCAACAGAGTGTTTGGGGGAGGATGTGGCTAATGAATGCACAGTAGTACATTGATTGTTTGAGAAGTTCCATTCTGGTGATTTTAATCTTGAAAATGAGCCACGTGGACAACCTGAAATGTGGATAATGATGCACTGAAAGCTGTAGTGGAAGCAAATCCATCTCAGCTTATGCGTGAATTAGCAGCAGGTTGGACAGTACTATTCCAACAATATTGGACCATTTGAAACAAATGGGCAAGTTAAAGTAGCTGGATAGATGGGTTCTGCATGAATTAAAGGAGCATCGGCAGAAAAATCATCTCAAAGCTTGCTTTTCTTTGCCGTCACGACATAAAGGCGAACCATTTCTACACCATGTTGTGATGTGATAAAAATGGATTCTTTTTGACAATCACAAGTGTTCATCACAATGGTTGAATAAAGATGAAGTGCTTGAACACGTCCAAAACCGAATATTCATCAAAAAAAATTAATGGTGTCTATTTGGTAGTCCAGTGCTGGTATTATCCACTACAGTTTCATGAAACCTGGTCAGTCGATTACAGCAGATGTCTGCTGCAACCAGTTGGACGAAATGATCAGGATGCTTGCAATTAAGCATCTGAGATTGGTCGATAGAGACAGGCCAATCCTCTTGCAAGACAACACTCGACCACATGTTGCACAAACAATACTGCTCAGACTACAGAGGTAGGGCGTAGAAATTCTGTCATCCACTGTATTCATCAGACCTTGCACCAACTGACTACCACTTCTTCCACACTTTGGACCACTTCTTGCAGGGACAAATATTCAGTTCTCAAGTTGTGGAAATGCCTTTCGTGATTTCATTGCCACTCACTCTCTAGGCTTCCTCACTGCTGGCATCAACAAGCCGCTGTTCAGTTGGCAAAACTGTGTTGATAGTTTAGGTGCATACTTTGCTTAATTATACTGCTTCTTGTTTGAGAAATAATAAACTAAACTTTTGATTCGAAATCAGACATTTCATATTTATTGACCTAATAATTTGGTAGCACTGAAGAAGATTTATAGGTGGGAAGGGTTTGAAGGTGAGGGAATCAGGTGAACATATTCTTAGAATGAATTGATAATAGCCACCTCCTTTTGGGTACCTTCCCTGATCACTTACCATTGAATAGGACATGAGTCTACAAAAGAAGCTTTGAAAGACATCTTTAGGGAACTATTGAAGAATGTTTTTACTTTTATTTGTATCCATTAATGCTTATGCTATAATAGGTGATCAGTGAGTGATTTTTGAATGAATGAATGGCTTAGAGATTGAAAGTGTTGGGGAGTGGGGGAAAAGGAGAAGGGAAGAAGTACTTTGACATAGTTTCTGAGCTTTAGTAGAAGGATGACAATATTGATGCAGTTTCACATATACCCAGGAAATATAAATAGTTTTAAGAATAAGGGAAGTTGGTCTATAATGATGAGTAATTTAGAGAAGTCAAAGAATAAGAACTGAGGAAAATACATAGATTTGGTAATAAGAATTATTTTTATAGAATAGCATAAATTAGAGCTCAGTGTAAGGAGGGAGTAGAAAATGGAAAAAATTAATGATAGTTTCTTTCTTTATGCAGCTTCAGTTGGCAGAGAAAGACAAGGAAATAAATGGTCTGTCTTCACATTTGGAAAACCTTTCCAGGGAGAAGGTATTTAGCAATGTACTTTAAAAAATATATATTGCATGACACTGAATGATACACAGCTTTATGAAGAGACACATCTTATAGTTCATGTGAAGGTGGTCTTTATAAAGAAAATGAATAAAGACTGAAACATATATTAAGACTCTTAGTAAAAACTGTTTTTAGTTAAATAATATTTATAAAGTATTTACTTTAGAATATGAGAAAAATGCTTGAGTGTTGAATAGCTTGGTCTTTGTTACATATTATTTAACGATAAATTTTACAGTGTTCAAGTTTAGAAAAACAGTGAAATTTTTAAAAGTTACATATGATGTTGTGTTTATCTGGTTTTATTCTGTAATAGGAAATGTTTTCAGAGTTGTTTAATGACTTCTAGCATAACCTAACATTCTGACAGAACTATAAATTTGTAATGTAAGAAACACTGTTGTGTAGCATTTCTCAGTGTGGTCTGTGGTCCTTTGGGGGTCCCCAGTCCCCTTTCAGGGGTCTGCAAAGATAAAACTATTTTCATAATAATACACAACATTATGTGATTTTTTCCCCCTACTCTGTTACATTTGCACTATTGGTGTGAAAGAAATGGTGGGAAAACTGCTTGCATATTATTATGAATTAAGAGAGTAGCGCCAAACTGTGTCCATAGTTACTGTATATGTCACCACCATGCACTCACAGGAAAGAATAGAAAGCCAGTTTCACTGAAGATCATGAAACAGTAAAAAAGTATTAATTTGACCCTGGGTACATCTTTCTAATATTCTGGGTGATGAAATGGGAAGTATTCCTAAAGCTCTTCTGCCTAATGAAGTATTGTGGTAATTAAGGTGTGTGGTTGAGTTGTTTATTGAACTAGCCTCTTTTCATGGAACACTATTTTTACTTTAAAGAAAAACAAAATTTGGTTATTCAGACTTGGATATTTGGCAGATATTTTCTTCAAAAAAAATGAAGTTACCTTAAGGAAAAACAATTGATAATTTGTTGCCACTAATGAAATTTAAGCTTAATTTTAAGCAAAAACTAGAATTTTGGGAAACTTTTATCTTCCACCATGAACTTGATGCTTCCCAATGTTGACAAACTTTTCTTATGAGGCAGGTGGTACTGTTTAGACTGTGAATTTTTTTTTATTATATAGTAAAATGTGCCAGCATTTAAAAGATCTACATAACTCAATGAACCAGTAGTTTTCCAAATGACCCATGAAGATGTTACAAAATCATACATAGTAAAACAGCCATTCTAAGTGTAAGATAGACCTCAACGTTGGATGTGAGGTTACTGTGATATTTGTGAAATTCTGGTCTTTCAACTCTATCACTTCTTCCACATTTGTCCTTTGGCATTCTATTAATACAATAAGGAAGAACCTTCCTTTGTCCTTTATGTCTATATGGTGGTATTCCAGCAACAATTTTCTGATACCAACTGGTGTCCTACAATTCAATTCAATTCTGATACCAACTACTGAGTTAGCCTCTTAGGCTGTCAGTATACTGGGTTCAAATGTTACTTGCATTAGTTTGTCCTTGTCTCATTCTCTTTTTTTTTTTTTTTTATTTCGGCATATTATGGGGGTACAGATTTTAAGGTTTCAATAAATGCCCATTTCCCCCTCTCCCCCCAAAAGTCCGAGTCTCCATCATGACCATCCCCCAGATGGTGCACATCTCACTCATTATGTATGTATATACCCGCCCCCCTCCCCCCTCCCACCTGCCCAATACCCTATTACTGTAGTACCTATGTGTCCACTTAGGTGCTACTCAGTTAATACCAGTTTGCTGGAGAATATATCTGGTGCTTGTTTTTCCATTCTTGGGATACTTCACTTAGTAGTACGGGTTCCAGCTCTAACCAGGAAAATATAAGATGTGCTATATCACCGTTGTTTCTTAGAGCTGAATAGTACTCCATGGTATACATATACCACATTTTATTAATCCATTCTTGGATTGATGGGCACTTGGGCTGTTTCCACAGCCTTGCAATTATGAATTGTGCTGCTATATCATTCTCTTTTGAAATGTTTGTGGGTATATTTGTTTCTGTTTGGGTTCAGTTTCAGATTTTTATCCCCATCGTTGGTGATTTTTATTTGTTGAAGATGTAGAACATTAACATGTTTTTCCAAAGTCCAAACTATACAGAAAGGTATAGAGATATCACTTTTCTCCTACCCACTTCCACTCTATCCTTTCCCAATCCAGTTTTTACCTTTTTGTGTTTCTTTTTCAAAAATAAGCACATGTTGGTTTTCTTATTTCCTTTTCTGTTTTCCTGAAAAGTTAGTAGAGGTTGAATATTCCTTATCTGAAATGCTTGGGACCAGAAGTGTTTCGGATTTCGTATTTGTTTTTGGATTTTGGAATATTTGCACATAAATGAGATATCTTGGGGAAGGGGACCCAAGTCTAAACATAAAGTTCATTTGTTTCATAAACATAGCCTAAAGGTAGTTTTATACAATATTTTTAATAATTTTGTGCATGAAACAATATTATTGAGCCATCAGAGAACAAAAAAAGGTGTCACTATCTCAGCTACCCATATGGACAATCTGGTGGTTTGGCATCGCCGTTATTCCTGACCTTGAATTTATATGCTACAGATAAGAGGTCATTTTCTTACACTTACTCACATGTGTGTGCTTATGGTATGTCATGTTTTTTTACTCTTTAGTACAGTGAAAAAATAATGTAGCAGGTGTGGAACTTTCTACTACTGTAAGGGCTCAAAAAATTTGAATTTTAGAGCATTTCGAATTTTGGATTTTTGGAGTAGGGATGCTCAACCTGTGTATGCTTTTTTCACTTGACAGTATATTCTGAACATCCCTCCATGAATGAAATTCATAGAAATCCTCAGTCTTTTTAATAGCTGTACAGTACTCTATTATTTATATATAATTTATGGTATATATAAACACATGCCCAAACTCCTGTATTTGGGCATTTTGGTAGTTTCTGTTATTTTACAAATAATGCTACAATTGATGATTTTATGCACATATACTTTTCTGTTGTTTGGGGGGTGCCTTCAGAGTAAATTCCTAGAAGTATGATTGCTGGATTGAATGGTAAATGTAGGTATAGTTTTGTTAGAGACTGCCCTTTCACTGGGTTTGTAATATTAATATTTTGCATTTCCACTAGCAATGTGTGAGAAGTGGACCGGTTTCCCCATAGAAATTGTAATCAGGCTTTCTAACTTTTGCATGAATGATAGTTGAGGAATGGTATCTTAATGCAGTTTTCTAATTTATATCTCTGTTATGACTGAGATTAAACATCTTAATTATATCTTTTTTGTGAGTTCTTGTCTTTGGCTCATTATTCTGTAAGATTTTTGGTTCACTCAATTTGTTATATATAGTTTTTACTTTACTAGAGGTATTAGCTCTTTATTTGTGTATGAGAGTTAATATATGTTGCAAAGATTTCCTCCCAGTTTTATCATTTGTCTTTTGACTATGCTTACACTGCTTTTACCATGCAAAAGTTCCTTATTTTTGAGTAAAGTGTGGTACTGCCTTGACTAGCAATAACTTGTTAGAAATGCAGATTCTTGGACACTACCCATCCACCAGACCTGCTGAATCAGAAATTCTGGGGGGTGATGCCTCCAAATATGTGTTGACAAACCTTCCAGGTGATTCTGAATTATTCTCAGCTTTGAGAATCACTTATGTATTTCATCTGAATTTTTAGCATTGAAAGCATTTCCTATACCCAGGTTATAGAGGAATTTACGTATGTTTTGTTCTAATACTTGTATAGTTTCTTTCTTTTTTCTTTCTTTTTTTTTTTTTTTGGACATTCAGATCTCTTATGCATTTAGAATTTGTTCTTTGGTATGGCATAAGGAATGGATCTATTTTACCTCTTTCTAAATTGCTATCCAATTGTCCCAATACATTGATAAAAATGCTCTTTTTTTTCTTTTTAATTATTGTGGGTACATAGTAGTTGTATATCTTTATAGGGCACATGTGATGATTTGATAAAGGTATACAGTGTGAATTAATCAAATCAGGGTAATTGGGGTATCTTTCACTTCAGACATTAATTATTTCTTTATGTTAGGAACATTCCAATTCCATTCTTTTAGTTATTTTAAAGTATACCCTAATTTACTGTTGACTTTAGTCATTTTGTTGTGCTATCAAATATTGTTCATTCTAACTGTATTTTTAAATTCATTAACCATCCACATTTTATCCCTGCCTCTCCGCACTACCCTTCCCAGCCTTTGGGTGACAATCATTCTACTCTCTGTCTCCATGAGATCAGTTTTTAATATATAGCTCCCATATTTGAGTGAGAACATGTGAGATTTATCTTTCTGTGCTTGAGATTTATTTTTCTGTGGTTGGCTTATTTCACTTAACACAATATTCTCCAGTTCCAGCCATGGTGTTGCAAGTGGCAAGATTTTATTTTTTGTGGCTATATAATATTCCGTTATGTATATGACCATAATTTCTTTATCTGCTCATCCATTGGTGGACACTTAGGTTGATTCTTAATCTTGGCTATTGTGAATAGTGGTGCAGTAAACATGATAGTGCAGATTTCCCCTCCTTTAGGTATAAACCCAGCAGTGGGATTGCTAGGTCACATGGTAGTTCTGTTTTTAGTTTTTTGAGGACCCTCTACACTGTTCTCCATAGTGGTTGCACTAATGTACATTCCCACCAACAGTATATGAGCGTTCCCCTTTCTCCACATGGCTAGTATTCGTTATTTCCTGTCTTTGTGATGTCATTTTAACTGGGGGTGAGATGCCATCTTATTGTAGTTTTGATTTGCATTTCTCTGATTACTAATGATGTTGAAAACTTTTTCATTTATCTGTTGGCCTTTTGTATGTCTTATTTTGAGAAATGTCTATTCAGATCCTTTCCCCATTTTTTTCTATTGAGTTGTTAGAGCTCCTTAAGTATTCTAGTTATTAATCCCTTCTTAGACGAGTAATTCACAAATATTTTCTTCCAT